TGTTGGAAGCGACGAACGCGATGGCACTATTACGAGTGGACCGATGTATCCGCGACGCAGTACGTAACGCTGTCACTTACCTGGAGAAGGAATGTGGCAGTACTGTTTGTCAGGTGAGAATACTAGACGTAGGGTTTACATGGAAGGACTGACTGCAGTGTTCTATATTTATATGCGGTTACTTATCCTTAAGTCTGCTCATTTGCCGCTCTTTCCCATAAAAAAATCAGAACGAATGACTAAGGTATCGATGTGTTGTGCCTACGTCAGTTTGAATTTACGAAACGTATATTTTTCGCCTAAACAGACATGTAGCGCCATCTATGTGAACATTAACGAATACAATAGTCCATGATTTACAGAATGTAATTTTTGTAATTTCTATGTATTTTATGTACTTATTTAATTTTTGTTCCATTATGTCTTAAATTTTTCCCGGACCTTCTTTATTACTAAGAACTTTTTGCCATTTACATGATTACACTATTTTAGAATTGTAAGTAACTTTTCTAATCGTCATTTTTATTTACAGGATAAATTTAAAGACTTGGAAGACTCAGTCGAAATATCGGTGTCCGTATTTTTTGCAATGAAGGACATTCCAAATCTGATGCAAGATCCCGCCAATCCGAAAGTAAGTGCCGCGAAACGGAATGAACTATTTTTTTTATAATGTTGCCAATTTTATCTTGAACTATTTTCCCCATTTTGTGGTAAAACTAATATAGCGAATATATTATTTGACATTTCGATCTGTTAGAACACTGTAAAATGCATTTTTTATTTATTGTGTTTTTTTTTGTTTTAGCGAGACAAAAGCTTGGTCGTCGAGCTTATAAAATATATGTTTGGCGGTGGTTCGCGGTCACTACAAGGACTGAGCTTTTCACTTATTAACAGAAGTCATTTGTTCATACCTGAGGCACGGAGTAGCTATTATCATGCTAGAGCAAATAAACTGCGTGAACATATGGAGGTAAATAAAATACAATCGAAACAATAATATTGTAATTTAAAGCAATTTATTACCATAACACAGCAAACGAAAGCTGTGCCTTAATTTTGTAGTATTTTATTACAAATTGACAGTAAAGTAAACAAAGCATAATATTTAGCGTATATTTTAGGGTTGCCATGATGACATTATTTGAATTTACCGCTCTTTTTCATCGTTAAATTTCGATTGCCATACCAAATATTTATATTTCAAAAGTAACTGAAAAAAATGACAACATAATACCAAATTCTTTTTCCAGAAAATTCTGGGTGACAATGGCGTGTTGATCTACCCAGTGTTCATCGGTCGGGCTCACCATCATAACCAGGTGTTCCTAAAAGCTTCAGGCGTCATGTACACCATGGTCTTCAACATCCTGGGCATGCCCGCCACCACCGTGCCCATGGGACTCTATAAAGGATTGCCTGTTGGAATACAGGTAAGGGATTCTGAATACAAAAGAATCAGATTACTTATTATTTTATTTACTTTTAGATAGATACATTATGTAATTGTGTAGTCATTCAAAAGATTATTAGTTAGGGATGATAATGACACGCTTTATCTTTAAATATTTTATTACAATTGCTTTGACTTCTGTGTGATTAGGATAACCTTTAACCTTGATGAAGGCGTTATATTTACAGTCTACATTAATTTTAATAGCGTATTGTTAAATACTAACGCTTTATTGCCTTTTTTATATTACAGGTAATTGCAGCTCCACATCAAGACAGACTGTGTTTAGCTGTTGCCAAACAACTGGAGATCGGCTTCGGCGGCTGGAAACCACCCCAGTAATTATATATAAGCAAAATAAGAAACTACCAAAATCGTTCATAAGTTCAACAAACCACATGTATGGCGTGGTTTATCTTTTTTACCAGAAAAATAAACTAGAAGTGTAATAGAATATTTCATATTACTTTATTCTATTTTGTACGTAAATGTATGTGATAGTAATCTCTATTTAAATTGATCGTATAATCGGGTACTTGACTATTTTTGAAATTGTTATACCTACTTGCATAAAAATATAAAATTTTCTATCCTTTTCTCCCGTTTAACGGAATATAACCCTATATGTAAGTAGTTGTTGCCTTTACACTTAAAATATATATATCTTGTTTTCTACTTGTCATTGAACTTTTTAGATATTTGTAAAATAAAATAGTCGAGCACCCAATTTCATTAGAAATATCCAAGTGTGCAATTTAGGTCGATTTATTTCGATAAGTTAATGTTGCCTTAGTCTGGATATAAATTAAAACAGTATTTTAACGTTCCATTTTTATTGGGCAGATTTTTTTTGGATTCGTGGTAAATCTTCAAATTATGTAGAAATGTAATGTAATTACATTGTAATCTATTTATGATAGTAGTACCTATTGTACATTTTGTATGTATGCTAACTGAAGTATAGATGTTATTATACGATGCCTAACTACTTAAATAAATACCAATGATATACGAGGTAATGGATGTTTATCAATTCTTTGTGATGGGTGCTTCTAATTATTTCACAATCAGGTACACAATTTAGCATCCCTTTTTTATTTTTGTTGACTTTTTATTTATAATAATAATTTTATTACCTAAATGTGCTGTGAGTGTAATATTTAGTTGTGAACTAAATATTAGTAACATAATTCTCGCGTAGATTTCTAAGTTGATCATTGTTCGCACTCTTTAAATTATTGTAATTGGCTGTAGCGAATGAAATAAATGAAATGGTGCGATACGTTCGTTTTATTTTTCCTCTAATCTTGTTTACTACCCATCCAACACATAGATCAATAAGTTCATTTATTTGAGAAACAATGGATATAGGATAGATAGATAGGGTTTATATAGTATTGAAAGCTCTATCCCGGTATCCTGGGTTCTCCTACTTTTCATACTACAAGATGTATCACAATGGCTAGGTGGTCGACTGAGATGCAACTTGTTTTGTAATTGATTCCAAAGTTGGACACATTTGCTGACGTCTTTTTTTTCAAATGACGCAAATGTATCATTGGACAAAGATTTATAATGTTAAAGCCCTGTGCTAGTCTTATCATATCAGTGGCTTGGTAAGTACAGGGGTATCCACATACAGCTGTACCACTATGTATGCAATATATGCACTATGTATGTAATGCAATTTCAATCCAATAAAAATCTCAATATTTTTTGAATGCCAACACTATACAACTCTTATCATCGCCGGGGCGAAACTCCGCTGCCGCGCCAGATTAGTGCATGGCGAGATGAGCTCCACCGCGATCTCATAGCGAAATAGCAGCAACGACTGTCACAACCGAGGGCTGGGTTTGCTGTCGTTGCAGCGGTAAGTCCCCTTTTTGAAGAGTGACTTGAGAGACACTACGGCATCCTCACCTACCGTCTAATGCCGGTCCTCACCATATGAACTTTGGGAGGTACCTGCGTCTGATAGGATGGGAGGAAACGCCCGGGTATCATCACTGCGAGGACTGCCCTGAGGACACGGTGGAATATACGATAGGGGCATGCCCTGTGTGGGCTCAGGGCTCAGGTCCAGCCTTAGTCCGGGCCATGATGCGGAGCAAAGAGGACTGGGATGCCGTCTTCTCCTTTTGCGAAGCAGTCATGCTTAGCTAGCATGACTAGAAAGAGGTGGGGCGCATGAGGCAGCGAAGCGGTGCCTCCTCATAAACCAGCCGTCGCAAAGGACACTCTGGGCGTCGGGGATCGCGGTAAGATCTGCGAACAGCAAGCATGTTAAGCTCGCCGACCGACCAGAACTAGACCCGAAAGTACGGTGTGTCGCGTCCCGCGCGCACCTCAAAGAGCCATCAGACCACCATGGATGGGGCCCAATACGGCTGATGCCGATACGGAGCCGCGGAAGACTTAACAGATTGCCGGGGCTCCGGCTCGAAAGGTGGTAGGAACGGGATAGTTTATAATCAGTAAGAGTCTGACACTGAGGCGGGAGAAGAAATACGATGATTTTCCCCCTTTAAAAAAAATCGTAGCTGTTAAAATAGCTTTCAGAGTATATAAAAACAAAACTCAGTACCGTTTCCTTCATTAAATAACCACGCCATATGGATGCAATGGGCGCTAGTGTTCAACTCACGAGTACGAAAGGAGATTATTTCGGCTCCATAAATTTTAGGGACATTTCTGAAAGTGCCGCCAACAAAAAAAAATTGTAAAGTAACTGTAACGACGAAAAGTTAGTACCTAGCCAAGTTGCGATTTTTTTTAATTTTCATCCTTAAACTGTCAAACACCGCGAGGACACCGGTGACCGCAACCTATTGTTCTTTAATTGTGTCTATAATGACGGTACTTCAAGGGTAACCTTTGTATAGAGGCAAACATTTTTTAATGGACGAGACTTCTTCACCAGGAAAAATATTCACTTATCATATCAGTGGTGCACTTACACTAAATTAAATGTTGTCATTTAAATTAACACAAAATAAGTTGATCGAGATGTATGAGCAAAAACGAATTAAATTAATTCCTTGCACTACAGAAATTATTTTCCAAATATAATGATTAGCAATTATGTAACAATTATAATTATAAATCATTAAATTTGAATTTTATTAAGCATAATTATACAACAGAAGCTATTTCTGTATTAGTCATTAATTTATGAACAAGTATAAACTTGCATTTTAATAAGATACTTTATTAGATTATGTCGCAATATTGCACAACATTATGAAAACGTTGTTCAATAAATAAGAAAAACGAGGCCCGCAAAAATAAATTATTCAACTTCCTTGCTGTCATCGTACAATTTTAGTGGTAATTTTAAAATATTTCATGGCAACACTAAATAACGACGTTCTTTCGCGGTGCGTGCGACATGACGCGCCGGTGAATTTTATTATAAATTTGACGTAATTCTTCAGTGCATATCTCGAAAATAAGGTGAACTGTTGCTAATAGTGTTATATAAACAGTGTTTCAGTGAGTGCATGTGTAAATAACCTGTAATATTGTGCTTGCAGACTTCACAATGGCCGATCAAGTCGACTCAATGTCAGATGCGGAGCTACGAACGAAACTTGCAGAGCATGGGTTTCCTATTATGCCTATTACGGCATCCACAAGAAAGTTGTTGGTGAAAAAGTTGAAATTAGTGTTAGACAACAAAAGTAAACCACGAGCTAGCGTCGATAACAAGGCCGACACAAGGCGGTCACTTGCACGCTATTCAAGCGGCGAGGAGTCCGATTTGGATACAACTGCTAATGCTAAAGAGAAACGTGGCCGCCGGGCAACGACCGGAGGGGCGATGCTGCCACCTGCAGCCAACAAGGCACGTCGCCCGCCTCCGAAGAAAGGTTCTCCCGCTAAACGGGATTCCGACAAAGGTTCCGAATCAGACGAAGAAAAACCTGTGAGAACACACGAAGAAGTTGAAACTGTGACCACTCGCACTATCAAGCGCACGTACGCGGCAAACGATGCGGACGACTACGAGACTGGCTCCGACAGCGATGTTGACGCCGACAAGAAGACATCTAGTCCTTTCCGAAGCAATTCTAGGTCAAGTGACTACATCTCTAGCACATTACCAAGTGTTGATGTCAACATTAGTCCCCCTAAGACATCAGTGTTCTCCCGTGCATCCATCATACCAACAAACTATTCATCTACATACTCATCCGGTATGACTTCTTCTGATAATCTCAATTCAATACGATCACGGTTAGGTTTAACATCTTCATTGGCAGATCGTCCATCTACTATTCCAACTTCTAACTACAGCTCCAACTATTCAACAAGTACTTATCAGCCATCTACTTCTACTATTGATGAGGTAGAATCTCCATATTTAAGTAACTTCACAAGACGTTTATCGGCACTTAAGTCGGATCCACCAAAGCCTGCATCATCTTATCTTGACCGTGATGCCAACAATGGAAGTACTGTGTTGCCCCGCAGGTCTTACATCACTGGTGTAAACCGTTCTGATATAGTAGATTATAAATCTGCTACAGACAAGAAATTTTTGAAGAATAACCTTGTTTCACTTGCTCTGGTTGTGTTAGTTGCACTTTTTTTTTTTTGCTTATTTTTCATGTATATAGTTAAGAAAAACGACATCACATCAGTGGTGGACGATCAGAACAGTGTCATACCAATCTGTCAGTTGAACATACCTGGCAATCGACCAGGTATAAATTGTGTGCCTAAAGAACAAGTCAGTTATGCTAAAGATCTCCTCAAAGTCATACACCCTGAATTAACTAGTCGAATAGCATCATACAAATGTGGTCAGGCAGGAACACTGCCTTATCTCACAGAACGGGAAATAATTGACATTGCCAGTGCCAAGGCAGATACCCATGATGTCAGCCAGTGTCGCACTGACCTCAACAACTTGCAAGTTCTTCTCATAAACAACCCTCGCTGGGGTCTGAATGTGGTCCAGTTGAAAAACCTTTACACAAAAGATATTGAATACTCTCCAATTGCTTCTACTGACGTAATTGTCCAACAAAGGACTAAAGGTACAGTTGCCATCACACTCTCAGATCCATCAACACCTTTGTCATGCTTATTTGTCAACACTTTGTACTCTGCTGGGTCCAGTCTTATTGTAGTTGCCCTTCTAACTTTACTTGGCTTAGGCCTTCAAAGAGCTTACAAATATTATGTGATGTATCAGAAGAGAAAGAGTGAAGAGATCTATTCTATGGTTGAACAAATTATTGATGTGATATCTCAAGAGACTGAGGATAGTGGAGAACCATACATATCTGTGGACCATGTTAGGGATACTCTCATCTCACCTCAAAACAGGGAGAAAATGGCTTCTGTTTGGGATGCTGCTGTCAAGTTCATACAAAGAAATGAAAGCAGAGTGCGCATGGAAGTACAATCCGTGGATGGAGAGGATTGCCGCGTCTGGAGGTGGATTTCTGCCCACAGCAGCCCAAAACGCAGTGCATCATGGCAAGGCCAGGCTTTTGAAATTCAGGAAGGCTCCGTTAACAACTTAGTAGTCTCTCCAACTCCCTGCCTCAAAATACGACACATGTTCGACAAAAACGACGACAACCCTCTATTGAGGGTGAAGATCCAGGATGCCATTTTGGAAAAATGTGACACGCACTGCAACATCCTGCACATCGACATCGACCGCACGTCGTGCTGCGTCTACGTCAAGTGCGCCTCCCCGGCCGACGCCGGCGTCGTCTACCGCAGTCTGCACGGCTGGTGGTACGAGGGCCGACTCATCACCGTCAAGTACTTGCGCCTCGAGCGCTACATGCAGCGCTTCCCCACGTCGCCGTCTACCGGACCCTACCTTACGTTGACCCGGCACTCACGCCGCGGTCTCTGGCCCGACGAGTAGACCTGACCTACTGGCTACCGGTGCAGCGCCACTTCGGGGATGTTATACTTGTGTGTTACGGAAGTTTCAGAACTTTACCTGAATGCTTCATTATTTATTGCGAGTAACTTTCAAGGATTGTTGTCTGTAGCTCAAGTTCTTTTCATTGCATTTCTTTCGGGTTTATAAAATGATGATTGATTTGCCAATGGCATAGGTAAAAATGTTAAAGATTGCATGCATATTGACTATAAATTAATCCGGTTTTTGTTTTCTAACATATTTTCATAATAAATACACTGCATAATATTTGTTCATTTGTATTTTTCCCATTTACTTCATATTAGATTGATATTGGTAATTTGAAAAGTGTTTTTAAATAGTCATCTGGTTTGTACGAAGTCTTGCCTGAAAACGTCAATGATTGTAATAATATATTGTACCTGTGTTATATTTTGTTATTATAAACTATATCCCAAATACGGGCCACGCCCCATAACATGTACTAAGCTTAAAATACTTGTACTTGTCAATTAAATTGTTTAAGACTTCGGTAGTCACTGATCTGATTTATTTCCTTAGGTGCTGGTCTTAACTTAATGCCTTAGATTTGAAGGAAAAATGTGTTTTCAATAGTAGTAGCAGAATAAAATGTTCTCTTCTGAATTGTTGTAAATATTTCACATCACATGTTTCAGATGTATTTCTACTGTTTCGATTTAAGTTACGAAGTTTCAAGGGCTTATATTTGTTATTGAATTTACTGATGTTTTGGAACAAATTGTTTAAAAAAATGATAGTTTTAAGTAGGATAAGTTTCATAGGGTATACCGACGCATACACACATTTGGTTTATTTTTCTTATATCATAAGTATCGAAGCGACAGCACAACGCGAGGAGACCTAGGTGTGTTTTAATTTCGTATAAATTGACATTTTGTTCTTAAGTATTTCTACTAACTTCACTATACTTAATATCTAGTTATTTTTATGGATTGATTTTCATTTTTTAATAAATTGATTAAGTAATTACTTGTTTCCTTTATCTCTAAAATTCTAAAAAGATATCACTTATTCCACTCAGAAGATTAAGTCTAATTGCACAATCATGATAGCCTCACACATTTTTAAGTTTTATCAGACTTCAAATTTCATTCCTTTTTTATCTCAATCTAATGTTTCAAATAAGAACAATATCAAAGAAAGTATCAAAAAAGTCACAAAAACAAAACAAAGAAGACATACAGACATGATTTTAATAAACATTATTTCGCATAACTTATCTAACTATAGCCTTTATTCAACAATGTTATAAAATATCTTAAAAATACCATGTTAAGAGGAAAATGTGATGTAGTTCTAAACTAGTAGATAGCGTAATTATTAATTGTATTTAGTAGTTTAGTATTTCAGTGAGAGCCTGGTAGCACCGCCACTTGTCTGGGAGGTAGAATGGTTCGAAGACGTGAGGGAACGGAGCGTCCCAGCCTGTCACGCGGGAGATAGGAGCCTCCAGGTGTAAAAAGCATTCCTCCTGTAAATAGACGCAAGTGAACGTGAGATACAAGGAGTAACTTTTAAATCGACAATTAGGTTATTTCCTTAGGTTACTTACCTTATCAAAAATAAATTATTTCGACTGTTCAATACACAACATAACATCACGCCTTTTATCCTCGAAAGGGTAGGCAGAGGTGCACATTATTATGCCACTACAATGTAACACCCACTTTTCACTATTTATGTTATGAGTACCATGTAACAGGGGGTGAGCCTTTTGCCATATATCGGGCATAATTCCAGACTTCTACTACTGAGAATATTTTAAAAACCCAGTAGTACTTTACCCGACCCGGGAATCGAACCCGAGACCCCTTACCGAGTCGCACTTGCGACTTGGCCAACGAGACAGTCAATGTTCAATACAATAATTCAAATATGACCAACTTAATTTTAGTATTTTTCCAACTAATTTTTAAGAAATAACTACATATGCTGTCCCGAAAAAAAACGCGACGTCACAATACACAATCTTGTACAAAATTCATAGAAAACTGTCGTTTTTGACAGTTCGAAAGAAGTATTGAATTTGACTAGTTGGCAGATACCCAATTGGTCAATCTGGAAATCAGTTTTATTTAAAATTCCTTTATTATATTAGTAATCACATTCACGACAAGTCTGAAGCAATAATTACCTGAATAGTAGCAGCTAGTTCAGCTCCAAATCCTGACGTCAGAGGTGCTTCGTGAGCGATGAGACAACGACCAGTTTTCTTTACGGACTGAAAAAAACAAGTTTCGTTACTTGGATACATCTCAGATTCTAATTAGATATTTAAAACAAATAATTCTCATATGGATAACAATGGCGAGAAGCATTGCGTGGTGTATCATCACATGAAAAGGCACCGGGCATCTAGTGTCGTGATTTTTTTATGGCATAAGCCGGTAAACGACCAGACGGATCACCTGATGATAAGCAATCGGCCAGTACCAATGTGACTTTTCCTCGGTACATCTCGATGTACTTTCTAAGATTATTCAGACACCACTGACAAATGGTGAAGGAAAACGTCGTGAGGAAACCTGCTGCTGTAGCCAAATGCCATTTAGCGCTTGTCTACATATAGAATAGAAAACCAAATTATATGGAATTGACGTAAATTTTGACGCGTGTCAGTGTCATCCCCATACATTTTGATTTCTACTCTCTCTGTAGACAAGCGCTAAAGTGGCGTTTGGCTAAAGGCACTGGGCTTATAATTTCTGATTGTAAGTTTAAAATCGTCAACTCGCATTGAGCAAGCGTGGGGATTAATGCTTAAACCTTCTCCGTGTGAGAAGAGGCTTTGTTCGGCAGTAGGCACTTATAGCCTGTTGAGTGTTGATGTCATGTGGGCATCTAACTTTTCTAGTGTTGCGGGTGACCAAGGGCAGCTCCGATTGATAACCATACCAACAAAAAAAATCCTACTTACTGCAAAGTAGGATTTTTTTTTTAATTAAGCACTTAATTGTTCCATGATAATTATAACAATAATAATCCTTTTAGAAACCACGTTTAAAAATCGAGTTCAGCCCCTCTTTTATTAAACTCGGTTAATTATTATAAGTACTAAAGCCTTCTCCTAGAAGTGTAACAAACACTTATCTGAAAACCGCATCAAAATCAATTCAGCTAATCGCGCAAAAACCTACCTACATACAGGTCAAATAGCGAACCTCTTTTTGTTTGAAGTCGATTAAAAATAATGAATAACTGAATACTTACGTTACAGACGGTGTCTTCATCCCAGGGCAGAATGGACTGTAGGTCGATGACGTCACAGCGCGCCCCGAGCTGGGCCTCCGCCAGCGCGGCCACCTCCAGCAACACGTGCACCTGCGTGCCCCACCCCACCAATGTCGCCGCCGAGCCTGACAAGGGGGGGATTTAGATGTGGTTTTAGTTTTTTTTCCCTACGCTAGGGTTTTCTCCTATATCGTGGATGTGTTTACAAACATACAATATTTTACATACACATGACACCCAGACCCGGAACAACATCTGTAGTTCACACAAAGAAATGTTTCGTGTGAGAATCGAACCCACGACATGTTGCGCGGCAGTCAGTACGCAGCCACCGCGCCAACCCTGCAGTTAGAAATTAATAGTTTTTTTAAGGGGGGGGGGGGATCGAAAGGAGTTTCAGACTGTTACTGACTAAAAACCACTTCGTTCCTACTCCTGCCCTTCGAGCCGGAGCTCTGCCAACCCGTTAAGTCCTCCGCGGCTCCGTAAATTAATAGTTTAGGCCTGTCAATTATTTTTTTAATCATCACACTTCTGTTTTGTTTTTATTACTGAATAGGCACATCGCCTAAAGATAATACGCTTTTTTATGAAGGATTGAAGACCGATTAAATTACGATTATTACGATTAAATTACGATTATTACGATTTAAAAATAGCGCAGAGACCTCATTGTTTGATTTTATGTAGGTATGTCTTCAGTTATCAATCTGATAATGGAACAAAACATAAAAAAATCGAAGTTCTCACCTTCTCTCAAGACCTGAGCCTTGCCAAGTGGTATGGTGTAATCCTCGACTGGAACCTCTTCAGCAGCAGATCGGTAGAGGATCTTAGGTTCCAGGAACACGCAAGGATCCTTCTCTCTGATGCACGATAGTAGCAGACCTTTGGCTGTGATTGGACCACGGGGCACTACCACCTGATAAGTTTATTACATGTTTAAAAAACTAAATTAATAAATCTATATATACACTAGCGGACCCGACAGACGTTGTCCTGCATATAATACCTATAATAATAATAATACAATAATAGGTATAGATAAATAACCTAGATATCGACTGCAGCGCCATTTGCCGGGCTGATTTGAGAATCTAAACCATTCCCAGATCCCCTTGAACACACACAAAAAATTCATCAAAATCGGTCCAGTCGTTTAGGAGGAGTTCAATGACATACACACTCACAGAAGAATTATATATATAAAGATAAATGAATCCCTTTTTCCCTTGGTAACAGCATCACGCGTGAATGGCTGGACTGATTCTTTTTTTGTTGTATTTATTATTACGGGAACGGGAAAAACCGGGATTGCGCGTACGAAGTCGCGGATAGAAGCTAATTAATTATAAATTCAACATAAACATCATTCCTAGACCCAGAATAATAATTTATGGACTAGTTCCGTGCTGTAATGGAGTACCTACGCGACTACTGATTTAGCCGACTACCGAGTCCCTGCGCTAACTATGCATACTTGGCCGCATTGTCCGCAAGCCATTTTATTTTAAGCTGGGAAATTTTCGAATGACTGCTCCCGTCTAGGTGAGGCGGGAGGGAGTGTCAGACTCTTACTGACTAAAAACCACCCCGTTCCTACTCCTCCACTTCGAGCCGGAGCCCCGGTAACCCGTTAGGTTCTACGCAACTCCAAATCGGCATCAGCCCTATTGGGCCCCATCCGTGGTTGTCTGATGGCTCCTTGAGGGGCGCGCGGAACGCTCGGCGCCGTACGCTCGGGTCTGGTTCTGGTCAGGCGGCGAGTCACCCATGCTCGCCGTCCGCAAGCCCGCGCTTACGGTGGCCGAAGATCGGCTCGTGGTCCGCAAGCCATTGGGACAATATTTAAAATTTATCTTACCCTAAGTCCAGGCACATGTGCGAAGAAAGCCTCGGGGCTCTGTGAGTGGTACAGTCCCCCGTGTCCCACGGCACTGCATGGAGTCCGGATGGTCAGCGCTCCGCAGTCAAACTGGCCACCCGAGCGGTAGCGAGCCTTCGCTGCTTCGTTTATTATCTGCAAATGAGTTATTACCAAAGTTATGCTTATGATGAACTTGATGAAGTAGTGTTAGATATTAAGTTTAGTACCTTTTATAGATTGGTGACCATGAAGCAAAATATCTGCTTTGGTATTTTAAAAAATGCCTGCCTCGTTGGTCGAGTGGTCGCAAGTGCGACTGCCGGGCAAGGGTCTTGGGTTCGATTTCCGAGTCGGGCAAAGTATTACTGCGTTTTAAAAAATTCTCAGTAGTAACACGGAGTCTGGAATTGTGCCCGGTTTTTTTATTCGTATTTTTATTTAGACACTCGAAACACCAAGGCGTTACAAGTGCGTTACCGGCCTTTTGGGAATTCGGAATTTGAGGATTGTGAAGGATTCCAAATGATGATGATGGGTATATGGCAATAGGCTCACCCCCTGTTACATGGGACTCATAACATAAATAGTGAAAAGTGGGTGTTACATTGTACAGTGGCATAATGCTTCTGCCTACCCCTTAGGGGATAAAAGGCGTGATATTATGTATGTATGTATGTCTTTTAAAAAATGTCACCAACGCTTAGGCACTAGGTGGTATAAATCATAATTATAGCCTTACTATGAAGCTGATAAACAATTAAGTAGATACACAACATGTAAACAGTGTTTTGCACATGTTGAAGCAATTGCAATAATAGTAGAACATGACTAAATTGTTATTACGCATCATAACTGTATTTTGTAAACAAGTTTAAAACGCAAAATATTACTATTAATTATTGATATTTCAATGAAATAACAAAACAACGTCGTGTTCATTTGTTAATGCAAAAAAGTAGAAAACTTAATACAATAGTAGGTATTAAGGTCATTGTGTAGGTATATGTAATTGTATGTATTGTTAACTTCATTCATAGAAGTGTTAGATATTATTAGTATCTACAAAAAAAAAGATTAATCTTCTTCTTCTTCTTATATCTTATAAATAAAAATGAATTTCCGTTCGTTAGTCTCGCTAAAATTCGGGAACGGCTGAACCGATTTGGCTAATTTTGGTATTGAAATGTTCGTGGAAGTCCAGGGAAGGTTTAAAAGGAAATAAAAAATTTTAAGTTGTAGAACTAAAGAAGTGAACAGTGAATAGCATTATGTACAAACCTGGTCAAAAGCGGGGAATATGTAATCAGCAAACTGTATCTCCGCAATAGCAGTAGCTCCAGCGGTGGCCAGTCCTATACCGAACCCTGCGATGCCCTGCTCACACAGCGGAGTGTTGAACACACGGTCCTTGCCATACTTCTCCTGGAAATATTAGAAAAGCACTTTAATTGGTTGGTGGTTTTAAGTCTTAACAACATTAACCCGTTGAAATTCATCCCCTAAATTTGTTCATACAAAAGTAGTCTCTAAACATTGGAAATAAGGTCTATAATGTAGTTAGTGGAGAGAAGTCACCGGTGACGCTTGGGAATGTATGGATTAAAGTTGATTTTATGGTAATACAATTTTTATTAAAGTATTGATAGAAGACGATAACATAATGAAGTGCATGGCTTTCTCACTACTAGATCAAACTAAAAGACAATGCAACTAGGCTTCTTCCTTTTGGCTAGCTATAATTTATAAGACAAAGGGTACCTATGTTTCCTAATGTCTGATTTTGATTAAGTTCTTTCCATAAAAAGGTAACAGTAAATTATGAATCAGACTTTAGATAATATTATTCAGACCTGTAAATAATACTCTCAATCACATCTATTCTAAATGGATAGAACATGAATCTCATAAAATATATTACTTGTAATCCAAGTGCACATCGGAAGACCCCACCAAATGCAACATCTTCACCAAACAGTACAGCCGTGGGGTCATTCTTCAGTGTGAGGTCCATAGCATTGTTGATAGCCTGCATCATGTTCATCTTTATAGTCTCTCCTGAAATTATTAAAGTATATTTTTAATGCATGATGCACATGGTCTGCCATGCACTGTTTTATGTTGTTACTCTGTTGTGTTTCTGTTTTATAACTTGAGATGTCATACCGAAAATCTCCAAAATTGGTTCATAAAAAGTAGTCTTCAATTATCAGAAATAAGGTCTATTAGAAATCGAAAAATTTGGTTTAAAAAAAATATATTATTTTAAATGGGTCAGAAGGGTTAGAAGGGTTTGTTTTAATGATTAGCGTTGACAAATTAAAAAAATATTCAGTAATAGACGGAATAGTGCATTCCGTGTCTGTGGTGAGTGTGAACATGTCATGTCTATTAAATGTAAGACCTCATCAAGTGTCCAGTTAGGCAAAGACATTGTATACATTTATTAATTTATTTTGTTAATAACTACATCTCACAGGACACCTAAGGAGATGAGTTAAAAAAATATTCTAAAACATTACAGTTCAAAATAGTTACATTTTTAAACAATTTGCATTAAGGTTCATGCATCAGTCATTTAAATAGGTATTAAGTAGCATTCTCAAGTTTATAGACTTATAAAAAATAAAGCCAATAATTCATACTGATTGCAAATCACTGCTAAGTGCTATCATACTCCTTATCTTGTTGCTATTTAACGGCACATCATTTTTTAATAACACTAACCTATATCATGTAGACGAATCATTATTTTTATTATTAAAACATAGGTTATGTTATTATTCTTAATTCAAAAGAGTATGATGAGGGTAGACATTAAATTTAAGTACCCTCAAAATGGGGTTGGTAATCAATAATAAATAGTAATGAACAGTTGATTATAAGAGGGTGTGCTTTCTTAGTTTAGTTGGTGTGAGTTTAAAAATATTAATAAATAGATTTGTACTGTGTCTTGTAGTTTGTTCTAAAGATTCAAACGTTTGTCTAGTCTAGACAACGATTGAAAGTAATGTGAACACAGAAAAATGCTATGAACATTTGAAAAGTTTGGTAAAGTACACATCCTTCAAGATTATTCACAAACATTATTGCGGGTGAGTTTTATTTTTCAAACAATGTTGTTTTTAGTACCTAATAAAATAAATATTGAAAAGAAATATGCATGGTAGCTTCCTACAATTACTTCACGGTCACGCCATGATCAACAAATACGTATATTTCCTTACCTTCCACAGGTTTCTCATTGTCAGGATAATAAATAAAGTGAGAAGACAATCTTTTAGTACAATCGCCAACATTTTTAACTAATCTCGCTAACAAAACACTCTTTTTCGTCACTAAACTGGCCATTTTTAACGATAATGGCGACGTGCGTAGTGCCCCCAGTAGAAATGATTAATAAATTAGGTAATACATCTTATCTACAATTGTAATTAGTTGCGCTTTGATTAAAATTCGTTGATAACCGGTCGAATGACGAAACGCTAAACATTCTCATTCTTGTTTTCATTAGTTCATGTTCATGCCGTTCATGATCAATGTTAGTGATATTGTCGTTTCGATATTTTTCCATTTTAAACTTTGTTGACTCCATTTTAAGGGTTAATATCAGCGTTAAATAAACCGTATGAATATTATTTGCATTTGCTTTACAAACAAAATGATAAAACTTTATGACAGTTGAAGACACTGTCGTTGTCATTGTCAGCTGTCACGTTAAAAGTGTCAGCTGTTAACTGCGAGTAGATGCGTTCATAGCGTGGCACAGATTCCTAATTCGTTATATGTTTGGTATTATTCGTTTGCAGATTTATTAGGAATTTGATAAAAATGCCGTTATCGCGTAACTTAACCGTTGTTAAATGAGCTAAAAATCACAAATCTAATTATGATTAAAGGATTTTACCGATTCGTCATCTACTAGACTTAGGTAAATAAATAAATACAAGCCTTAGTTACTTTTTAAGTCTACTAAGGGAAATAGAAACTGATAAAACTGATCAGTATGTTTTTTACAAATCTTAATATAATTATAACTTTAGAGGTATAAAGACAATGCTTTTCAAAATGTTTTCTATAGGGTGTTAAGGACATGGAACTGAAACATAAATATCGTGTAAGTGAACGCGAGTAAAACTGTAGGTACAAATTGCCATTACATTATTAAATTAACATCAGATCCAGGAATATTATAATTAAATTGATTCACTCGTAATTCCCTTGTGTGTATTTTGTAATTTTATTTTTTGTCGTTCTCATTGATTATGAGATTGCAATCAATTTTATTGACTGGCATTCTTTTTTTCTTAAAATTTATAATTTAAAAAGCGACGCCGAAGATCGAGTTTAGTGGCTAACCACTTTTCGTCTATCGTAATCGAAATCTGGCTGGTAATAAAAACTTTTTTATTGAATCATTTGTTCTTTTTTTTCTATACTTAACTGAATCAATATGTGTTTGGCTTTTTAATATTCTCCTGTGCAGCGGACCAACAACATGTTATGGATCACACATAGAGATATTCTGTACGAGAATCCAATCTGCCTCGTTGGCCAAGTGTCGAATGTCGGGAAAGGGGTCTCGAGTTCGATTCCCTGGTCGGGCTTTAAAAAAAATCTCAGTAGTAGCACGGAGCCTGGAATTGTGCCCGGTATATGGCAATAGGCTCACCCGCTATTACATGCGAATCATAACATAAATAGTGAAAACTGTTACATTGTACAGTGGCATTAAATGCTGTAATGTGCACCTTTGCTTACCCCCTCGGGGATAAAAAGCGTGATGTATCACGTATCATAATCGAATCTACGCCACGTTGTGCAGTATCCCATCGCCCAGCTACTGCGCCAACCGTGCACATAACTTATTTGAAATAATGAAGTATATGTATCAATCTTAATAATTACCTACTAACTAAAGTTACGGACGAAATAGTTACGTCACAACAGTACTGCGGAGAAACAATATTGTTTTCTGCAATAAAATTAACAGATCTGCAGCTGACAGTTGACAGCACAATAAAGATATTGAGCCTGTTCTGACATTATCCTCAACCTGTAAAAGAAATCTTTTTGTATTCCAATACCGACATCGTTAATAAACATTTTATTATTATTGTGAAATTATTTTATCAATATTGCCTGTCTGACCATGTGGTCGGTTGTCAAGTAAAGAGTTTTCGTTTTCAATGCCAAATATTGTACCTAGGTATTGGAATGTTTTCATTTTCAATTTAAGCCGTTTCGTAACGGCAGCGTAAAACACATGTACTCATAGGAAGGTACCCGTACTGCTCCAGCAATTGTAAAAAGAACCGACAAAGTGGCATATAACAGAGCCCGAGTAGCAGTACTCTTTGATAGGCCTTCAAAAAAAATATATATAAAAAAAAAGAAAAAAAAACATTATGATTTCCGACCTGCCTACAAAGGTGTAAAACAAGAAGATTATGACATACCGTCTTTATAGTGACTAGGCTTCTCCCAGTTGTACAGTTTATTTTTGTGCCTTTAGGCTTAATTCAGTCTGCCTCCTGCAGTAATTTACCGAGGGAAGTGGAAACTATCGTTTTTTTTCTTCTCCTCTTATATATCAAATCAAATCAAATCAAATCAAAATCATTTATTTGCCCGAACAAGGTATACAGTGGTCACATTATGATTATAGTCCCTCTTATTCTGCCCACAATTCGGGCGTGCAAAAATTTTACATGGAGTCATAAACATTAAAACTATAAAACAGGTATGTCATATTAAGTGAGAAAACAATGTCATTAAAGGTACATGTCAAAATAAAAATTACTATATAAAAAAGGAGGTTCATTATTTTCAAACATTAAAATAAAACTAACAAAACAAAAACAAAAAAAGAAATTATACCTCTAATAATACTAATATTCAGCCGTTAATCCACAAAATAACAATCTAAAACAGTCTATTAGACCCTCACATTATGTTTGGCTCCTTTATAACCTATAATCTAAAAACTCATGTACGCTATAAAAACAACGATCGAGGAGAACTTTTTTTAGACAACTTTTAAATTTTGAAAATGGTAGGGCCTTTATTTCACTAGGAACTTTATTATATAATTTGATGCACATAATATAACTATTGTTTGATGTGAGCGTAAGACTTGTCATTGGTCGATGTAGCTTATTACTATTATGCGACCGCGGAGCATAATAGTTTGTCGCACACTGGAAAAAATCTTTATGCTTGCAAACAAAGATACACGATTCCCAAATATACAAACATGGCAATGTGAGGATTTTATGTTTCCTAAAGAATGGGCGACAAGAATCTGTTTGCTTTAACCCGAATATGGCTCTCAAACATTTTTTCTGCATTATAAATGCTTGGTCAATCTCTACACACCGACCCCACAAAATGACTCCGTATCGCAAAATGGAAGAAATGTAGCCGTAATACGCAGCAATTGCTGCGTTTCTAGATATTTCGCAGCCAATACGTCTAAGGGGATAAATAAAACTATTCATTCTCGCGCAAACATCATGCACGTGGTTCTTCCAAGAACAATATATCTTCTGATTCACTTCGTTGCGGGAACCAAGATAGTTATTCATGTCTTTGGGACGCGCCGGACTTCAATGTTCCGGCGTTTTCATGGTTGTATCTACAGATGATCCTGGCTTACAGGAGTTCCAGCGATTTCAGGAGGTCCCTAAAAAAAAAAATGGACTGCATCACATAGCATTAGCATTATTGTATCGTAGTGTAGGTACTCCTATCATCCCTCTTCGGAACTGTACTAGCAACGATTCCCTATGTAAACATGCTATGTATCACAGCCACACAATAAAACCTATTATTCAATACCTGCATTTTAATTCTTTAAATTATTTTCCTCAGTCATTCTTATCGCACGCAACATTCTTTAGATTTCCATGTAGTGAACTTATTTCCAGGGCAACATTGCACCTACTCAGTAAGGTGTGGGGGAATTTTTGTTATGTTTCTATGTAGGCATAGGCACCAGTGATTAGTGTCATTTAGTATTTGGTTATGGATGGACCTGGACTATGAATCCTTTGTCGTAGAACTTCGATCAGCTACTGAGATACGGGTTGCAGAATTCTTTCAATATTCGGTGACTTAATTGTGATCCTCAAGGTGTTTGTTAAGGCCGGGGTTTATCGATGGGAAACTCCTCTTGAGAGTGAGGCCTTTGTGGACAGTCGACTTGTTCCGAATGATGGAGCTCTCCAGAAATGCCTTTGGAACTAAGAACATCACTATGGATGTTTTACATACAAAACCTATATCAAGTTTAATTGGATAAACTTTAACTATTTTATTACAGGTATACACTTCTACTTACATGTACAAACAACAACAGGCGTAACGTTATGCTACCATACGTTCGTCTTTATTTGGCAGTTCTCAACATAAGTCGAGCTGAAGGGGCTGCGGCTTGATGTGCAGGAGAACGAACGGGGTGGTTTTTAGTCAGTAAGAGTCTGACACTCCCTCCCGCCTCACCCAGGCGGGAGTAGCCTTTCGATGATTTTCCCCCCTTAAAAAGAAGTGGAGCTTACAATGCAACTTGATCAATTTAAACCAGTTAAAATCGAGTGCTCATAACTCGCAAGTTAAAAAGAAAATAACGACCGATTAATTATCTGCAAAAAGGTTCCCAAGATATCAATAACCCCTGCCGTTAACTTTTACAGTTAACTCTTAACTCGAAGGTTATCAAGACAACTTAATAATTACATATTTATTATATAACTAAAAAAATAAACCGTTCGCTTATAAACTGAGTTAACAAAGACAAAAGTAGTTCAAGAATAATCGACATGCCTTCACACACATAGACAATGTAGACTAGGTTTACGCACACATACATAGCCTGGCCATAGAGTAAATGATACCAGTTTGGTAACTCTGAGCTATTTTTAGATCTTGATGTTCTGGAGTTTTTAAAACGTACTTTTTTTCTGAAATGGGTAATTATAGTCTGTGGTTACGATGGTGTTTCGTATTTTTATTATGTGCTATTTGCTTTGCTAGGGTTTTATTAAATTCTAATTAGTATTGTGCCTTTTTAGCCTTTTTGAATATTAGTAAAGCTTTTCAGCTGGACTATGATCTTTTCTTGTTGGTTAATAATAATAATTTATATTTTTTACAAATTTTCTAAAAGGTAATATCAGGTTTAAAATTCAAAATGAAAGAAAATTCCATTTCTCATTCAATCGGTATGATTTATTCTCTAATTGGAAGACAAATAAAAATCACTTTGCGTTTACAATTGAATAATATTTTCTTCATCAACTTTTTCACACACTTCAATAACTGACCTACCATTGTAAAATCGACTTGGAAAG